TAGTTCCAAGAGGAATCTCTAAATGAATTTCAAATATGGATTGTAGAGAATGTTACAAGATTTCCAAAATGTCTAGGAACTCTCCAAGATCATTTATGGTTAGGGAGAATCGAAGGAATGAAAATGGACATTTCTCACTTTTGTCCAAGGCATTTTGCACAAGGTTACAAGTTGCAAATCTGTCCTAAGCATGCTTGTACTTGTTTTACAGGTCTTAAACCTTTCCAAACTCCTTAATTTAATGCAAATACAATGGATATTGGTCTTATTCTGAGTTATGGAGCATTACATAATGAATTAATCCATCTATGGCATAAAGGTAACAATGCCATTTTCATAAAGCTTGCTTTTTGCAATTTTGTATTCCTTGAGCATTGAACCTGATCTTTGGCTACAAACAAGATCCATAAACATTAGAAAAAGCTCACCGACTATGTGCAGACCTTGAGCTAGCCTGTACAGGCTTTGAGCTTTATCAACTCACTTTTGCTTCAAAAAGCAAGTAAGCTTGCAAAAAGTCCATAACTTGAGTATCTGTTAAAACCAAGTCTTAAGATCATTTCAAACAAGTTCAACATATTGTCTCAAGCCAGAAACACGATTTTCCAAGCTCCCAAACACCCTAAAACACAAAATCACAAGTTCTTTCCAAAATAGGGCATCTTCTGCAGAACCACTTCCAAAACATATTCCACTCGTGCGTTTTGCCTTGAACCACTTCAAACACATTCCCTACAACCCACCTGAACTATCCAAGCACCCGTCCAGCAACTGTAACTTCACTTTCACACTTCACCATTTTCATTTTGAAGCTTTGCAGGTTGACTTCTACAGGGACATTCAGGCAAGTTCAAAGCAAGCTAAGCATTGGGAAAGGTTGAGACAACTTCAGGCAAGCTAACACGACCTTCAGGCCTCACTCATAGCTCCTACATTGCCATATCCAAACATAACTGAAACAGGTATTTGTCAAGATTCTAACTCCTTATTTAGGCATCATTAGGCTTAGGTTTGTGAAGCAAAAATGTAGTCTGTAATGTGCTTGAACTATACATATGCATAGCTTCCATTTATATTAACTGAGCTAGGAGAATTTGGATGATGAACATCCTGAAAAAACTAGGTTAGAATTTAGGGCCACTAAAATTCTCTCTGGTCTTTGAGAGTTAGGTCAAGTTTTTTATATGGTTGGAATTGTGATTGAAAATGCTATAACTTTCATGTTGTAAAATTTTAATTTCATGCAAGCAATAGAGAGAACTGATTTTGATGTACAGGGCACGCGCATTTTGTTCAGAGGACATGGATGAAGTGAAGTGGGCCTGGCGCACTTGGGCTTGTTTCTTTCTGCACCCCCTTGGCCCATTTTCTATATTTTTGTATATTTTTCATTTCTTTTATATTTTCTGACTTTATTTATTTTTTCTAAACATTTAAAAATCTAAAAAAAAATTTCTTAATTTTTTGCATTTTTTTTTTTGGACATAAAAATAGTTTATTAATAATAACATACTTTATTTTCTTAAATAAAAAACTTGTAAATAATATAAAAATATTATATATTATATATTTTTATTATTTATACACTTAAAATAATATTTTCACACATATTTTATTTTTTAACATTTTTGTATATATTTTTATTTATTTTCTTGTACATAAATGAAATAAATAATATAGATTATTTTCTTTTAAAACAAAAATTAGGGTTTTCATCCTTTCAAAAATAATCATTATATTTTTCTTATTTTTAAGACATTAAATAAACTTATTTTTTACATACATAAAACAAATACAAAAACATTTGTGCATATTTACATTTTTATTGTACATTTAAATAATTGTTCATTTATTTATTGTATAAATTCAATTGGGTTGTAATAGTAAATTAGGATTTTATTTTTGAGTAATATCCCCTTTATCCAAACTTGTACCCCCTCCCGATAATATTGTTGTAATAGTCTAGATTTACTTTACGCATTTTATCGCTTTCATATACCATGATAGTAAATTAGGGTTTTGTATGCAAAGACCAAAAATCAAACAAATAGCATGACTTAACACAAGACATAAATGCATGAAAAATGACAACACCTTGCACACAAGCACCCCTAGGGTTTCATCCACTTCGTTGCCTTAAAATGGTCATGGTATGCATGCTAGGTATCTTGGCAAAACAAAACAAAAAGATCATAGTCCCTCGATGATGCTATCTTGGTTGCCTAAATACAAATGATATTAAGTCCCTCAAAACTTGCTAAGATACTTGGAAATATTGTTATCATGGTCATACGATGACCCACACCCGTCCCGTTTAAACATCCAAAGATAGGGTTGTTTACCAAATACAATGGTAAAACAACAATGTTAAAGGGTTAAAAATGTGTAGGAAAGACTTTTGATTAGGGTAGACAACTCCTAGTTACTTGATCAATTTGCAAACATCCTTGCTATTTTCAAACAATCACACACAATTCCAAAACAATTTCCAAACAACTTTCAAACATTGAAACATTTTTCAAAAGACAAACATCTTTATATACATTCTTCAAACAAGAATCATTATAAAGATTGCCAAAATGATGGCCTATTTTCAAAATACTTTCAAAACCACACAAAGCACCATTTCAAACAATTGGAAAAGCAAAGCAAGTGATCTAAACAAGTAACTAAGAGCCCATGGAAAACCATGGATGAAAAGGGTTCTGGCACCTTCTCTTTTCATAATCTACCTCCTGAACCCAAAAAAACATCTCAAAGGTCTTTCCTGTGCTTTTTGACCTTTCCTTTGGATAAAATAAAAAGTCGGTGGCGACTCTTGCTAAATCGAAACATTTGCGAACACAAACGCAAAACCTCAAGTCAGTTCTCCCACCGTATCACACTTAGAAACTATGCCGTCTATGTTCAAATTAAATTGGGATAAAGAAGCCCCTAGAATTACTATCGAAATATTTGACGAACCTGCATACTGTTATAAGATCGACACTGATGAAGAGAAGCCATGGTATCATGTGTAATACCCCAAATTTGTCCTACCCTTTCACTTTTATCTGGCTTATGCATCTCACACTTTTCTCATGTATATAACCTTCATTAGGTCAGCTAACACGTCATGTATCAATAAACTTGGTATGGGGACAAAGATCTTGAAGTTAGGGTATTCTGTATGGCTTTAAGGTTCTTATCTTCTTTCAAGCTTAAACCAGCTGATCCTTTCATAAATCAAAATTTGTTTGAAGCTTAGGGTTTTGTGATCACCATCATTGTTCATATTCTTCTAATTTCTCCTATCTACAAGGTTTTCCTCAAAACATTTACTTCGAGATCATTAGTCATCAAAATGAGGTGCCTTTGCAAAGTGAATTGCGAGATTTAAATCATGGTATAAAGGTGATGTTGTGAATGCGTAATATGATCAAGGAATTGTTATTATTAGTCGCCTCAATTACAAGAGGTAGATTTAAGATAGAAACTAAGGATTTTAGTAAGGAGACAGGATCGATTTGGTTTGGTTCTTATGGATTCAACATCATTTGGGGTGTTACCTAATGTCATGGACTAAATTTGTTTGAAGTTCGTAAAGTAAGAAGTGCATTTGGATTTCTTGAAGAACAAGTGAAGTTTTAAAAACATTAACAAAGTATGGTCATGATATTAAGCTAGAGTCAAGATTGAATTTAAGATGGTTGTAGTCAAACAAGGTTTATTTAAAAGTCATCCACAATTCTAAAGCAAGCTTGTAAGATTAAATAACTGTTTAAATGCCCATCAAAGGTTTTTAAAACAACTTCCTTCCAGTTTCCAAGGCATTACAAGGGCCATGATCATTCAAGTATTATTCAAGGAGGATCTAAAGTACAAGTTCGAGTTTCGTCAAGGCATCAATCCAAAAAATGTCAAGATTCATTCAAAAACACAAAATCAATGTTCAAGGATAATGAGTTGCGTTTTAGCACTTCAATCGTATAACGAATGAAAGATGGAAGAAAATGATGGCAGTAAAGAATCAAATAGCCTACTTTTGAAACATCAAAACTGCCGAAACATAATTCAAAGGCAAAATGAAAAATATCCAGGAGTGGAAAATATGTGTTCATCAAACAAAAGAATGAATGCATTGTCTATAAAAAATTTACAGGGAGGATTTCGTCTATCTAGCTAAGCATCTGAATAGTTTAGCTACTTATGCTTCAGGATATCAGAAAGTTCCAGAAGAAAACCACTGGAATAAAGTTAGAACGTAAGTAGCCTCGCACATAAACATAACCCCCTCTTAAAACCTGCACAAGGATATAACACAAAATCAAAAAATCAAGAAAGTATAGAAGGAATAGACTCTCATTCATAGATCAGCAAAAAAACACCCCTCTAAAAAACTCATTCATTCTAATTACTAACTGTCACTCTCTAACGAAATAACAGCAAAACCAATTCCATAACTGTTTATAACAGAACTTCTTCTAACCTCCCATTTAACCGCCAACTCAAACTAACCTATCTGTAACCAACCTTCTAATAACTAAATAGTATCCTAACTTTCCAACCTCTAACCCTTTTAACTGTCCATATCCTGTAAATATCTCCTAACCAAAAACCTAATTGTCTATAACAGGAAACTCATATAATAGAAAACATGATGGAGTGGAAAATTTCCAGCAGAACCCGAACCAGTTATACAAGAAATATCCTCTAACAGCTCTCTAACTTCCTAACCAACTTCTAACAGGCTTCTATCTTCTAACCAATTCTGTAACAAACTCCTAACAAAATATAATTCCCAACCAACTTTCTACAGAGGGGGAGATTTCCTAACATATTGAAAGGAGGAGAAGGAGAGGCACGATTCATAGAAAATATAAAAGATGTAACCGAATACAAGAGAAGAAGGAGGATATAAGATTCAATGGAGAAAAGCTCAAAATATTACCTTTCATTCTCTTCATCACCCTCACGATTAATTCTTCAATTTCTGAGATGAATTACTGAAAAACCTACCTTCAATCTTCATTATCCCTCTTCAATCTTTCTCCCGGAACTGGCTTCACCTTCATCTTCTTGGAACCTTCAATACCACCTTCATCTGAAACTGAGCTTTATCATCACCTTCAATCAGCATCAATAACTACCACTCCTTCAATCTTCCAATCGTCATCATCACAAAATCTTTCCACTGCTTCCTTCATCAAACAATTCAGCAACATTTGCAATTTCAATCTCCATCACTACCTAACCTACGACATCAACCTGCATCTTCCTCATTCTTCATCATAGTTTCGATCATCATCATGTTTTTGCAAACCTTTCTGCATCGCAAATAGGCAAGACTTCTCAAATCTGTAATTCCACATCCGCAACAACAACATGAACGCACAATATCCTTTCATCACTTCAGTTGCTTCGAATCCGCAAAACCAGCATCTCCCTGCATCAAACAACAACAAATTTTCATCATCTGCATCAACAATTCAAGAACAACACCAACACAAGTCACACATAGAAGAGAAACCTGAATTAGAAGAAGAAGGGGCGAGAAACAGAAATGGATATACCTAACAATCGAAGCTTAAGTCGTCACCGTCTCCATTTTCATCGGTTTTTAGGGTTTGCTGTGAGTTTAGGTTAAAAGGATTCGACGAGGAAGAAATCGGAGAAAGTAAAAGAGGAATCTATGGTCTTATTTCGCGATTTCGTCACGATGGTGGGAAGCGGGTCAAAGAGGACTGAAACAGTGGTGAGTGAAGCAGAATCGGGATCGGAAGAAGCATGCGCCGATTTGGTTTGAGAGAAGAAGATGACTCAATGCGTGGAACCTCAATGGTCATCATTTTACCTAACAAGCCAAAGCGCGTTCACTGTTTCTACTCTTATCTTGTTAATCTGTTCATTTTCCACTTTTTAGTTATTTCTAATAACAATTAGTAGATAATGTTGGAGCTGATTAGGATGTTGATTTTGATTGAAAACTACAAGGATCATGGGCCGAGATTGCCATGCATTGGGCCCGATTTTATGAAGATTAAGCATTGAACAAAAAATGATGAAGCATGGACTCTAGTCTGGGCTATCCACTTGGGCTTGCTAGTTGCGCACTAGTGTAAAGCTTACACCCCCTATATTGGTTATTTTGATTTCTTTTCAATAGGTTATTTCAATTTTTATTTTCATTACTTTTGATAATACAAATTGTGATAAGGATGTCATGATTAACATAATAAAAACTGTAGGATTTTATTAATTAATTTTAGGGTCTGTCTCTTGGAACTTAATTGAAGGTTTGTCATTATTTTTCTTCATTTCATAATTAATTTTAGTTACTACTGTTATCACGACTCTTTGGTCAATTTTAGTACCAATTTTGTATGATGTTGTTGAATAAAAGAGACTTTGTTTTGAAGCTAGCTAAGAGCCTAATTTTCATCAAGAGAATTCGAGGAAGCTTTTAGTAGAGTTTTCTTATTGCTTGCATAATTATGAAGAGGCAACAAACCTTCTCTGTTAGGTATCATCGCAAATTCATTTTATTCCTCATTTATGCACTTTATCGCTTTTCTAGATATCATGAGAAGTAGGGTTTTAATGCTTTCTAATGCCATGAGAAGTAGGGTAGAGATGTATGATAGGGGTCTCCATTGTTGATCATGTCAGGAACCCCTCTGGTTTATTTAAAGACCCGTATAGGGCAATTCCACATTGTGTACATTTTGTATGCTATTTATGGTTGTTTAAAACCCTACCTTTGAGTAGGTATTCCGCACGTGTGTTTATATTTGTGCCCGCATATGTACAGATTATAAGTCCTCAAAAATAGGCGAGCGGGTAGGTTTAGAAATCAACCCCCGCAATTTCGTCTGTGTCATCCTTAGCTCGTGACGCACCATGAAGCTTCGGAGTTGTGCCCGCTCTTATATATAGAGTCGTCAAGTGGGGAAGGGATCCGCAATTGAACCCCCACGCTTTGTCAGGAGTTCGCATTGGCCGATATCGATACTCTGTGATCGTTCATATTGTCTTCTGTCGCCTACCTCGATCTCCTATATCTTGGTTAGGTGTTCAGTCGCTTTGGAAATCATATTTTATTTTTTCATCCCACTCCCGCTTATTTGTCTCGGGTGATACGCTCCCCTTGGCTAACGCATTTCTCTTCTTTTCCTCACTCTTTTATGTGTGTGCTTCTTCGAGCTTGTTTGCTTTATCCTTGTACATACTATGTTCCCTTAGGATGTGCTTGCTCCTTTTGGATGCAAGTTAGACCTAAAGCTTGAGGAGATTGCTCGAGCTCTGTACTTACAATGTTCCGACGTTGTGGTAAATTGGGAAACAAGAAGTGGTATCAAAGGGTTTCTAGCCAAGTTTTTGTTCGATAAGGCTCACTATTTTTGGGATAATCTGGATTTACAAGCCTTTGAAGAAGTGTTGGCCCTCCTCATCTATGGGATGGTACTATTTCCTAATATGGACTAACTCATAGATGTGAATGCGGTCAAAGTTTTTCTGTCTCGTAACCCGGTGCCTACTTTACTTGGGGACATTTTGCACTCTCTTCACACCCACACCGTGAAAAGAAGAGGTACCCTTATGTGTTGCACTCCTCTGTTGGCTAGGTGGTTTATTTCACACCTACCTTGATTTTTTTTAAGAATGAGCAAGGCATGAGATGGTCTGATAGGTTGATGTCCCTCACGCATTCGGATATTCACCGGTGTCCTCGATCTTTGGAGGATGTTACCATCATTGATCGCTGCAGGGAATTCCCTAATGTCCCTCTCCTAGGCATTAGGGTGGGAATTACCTATAACCCTTGTTTGGCATTGCAACAATTTGGGTATGCTAGGAGGGATGGTCCTCATGATACACTTGTCCGAGGAATTTCATTCTACTATGAGAATGATGTCCAAGGTTACCGTCAGAGGTTCATACGAGCTTTGGGCATGGTGAACAAAGTTGATAGCAAGACATTGGGGCATAAGAAATCCATTCCTTTGGAGACTTATCTTAAGTGGGTACGAGCACGCGCTCAAAATCTCATGATGCCTTATGAGGCCATCTTACCTATCATCATGGAGCCTACCGAGAAAGATGTTCCTTACATTATTCTCTATTCTGACATGCCGACTACTCTCAAGGAGTTGCAAAGATCCTGGATTCAACTCAAAGAGGAACGAGACACCTTTGAAACCCAGTTCTACGCAAGCGAGAAGAAGGTTTTGGAGCTCACAAGACAGCTTCATGAAGAGCAGAGTTTGAATGCCTACATTGCACTGAAGAGGACGCGCTCATGGGAAGCTTGAGTCCTTTTTGTTTTAAGAGTTTTATTTTATATTATCTTTGTTTCTTCCATTGTAAGCCCAATAGGTATCGTTGTAACCGTTCAAACTTATTAATGCAATTAATGTTTGTTTTCTCCTTATCTAAACAAATTTAAATCTTAAAAGTCCTTGAAAACATTGCATAAGCATATCATGCATATCACTACATAAGCAGGTATTCCAAAACATGCTTCTTATCTTTTCACTGTTTATTTCAGCAAAAAGAAATGGCTCTCGAACAAAACATTAAAGACCTTCAATCTCAAAATGCTCAATTCCAGCAAATGTTCCTAGCTCTGGCTAAGGGACAAGAAGACCTGAAGGCTCTGATTCTCAAAGACAACAAGAAGAAGAAGAAGACAAAGAAACCAGTGGGTGTCCTGAATACGGTAAGGAGATTCATAGGACCAACAAAGCGATATCTAGACTTTAACTCCGTCAAATGAGGGGGATAATCAGGAAGAGAAAACAAAAGAAGAAGACAACAACCCGGGGACTGATGAAGAAGAAGCTGATTACTCTGAGTAGCAATATCCTCTTGTTGATGAAAAATACAAACAATTGGAAGATTGGCTAAATGCAATGGAAATTCAGAGGGTACATGGTCTGGATTTTGAAGAGTTAGGGCTGGTTTCTGGAGTGGTCATTCCACATAAGTTCAAGGTTCCCGCATTTGCTAAATATGATGGGATTTCATGTCCTAAGCTGCATCTAAGGTCTTATGTCAGGAAGATCTAACCTCACACCACTGATAGGAATTTGTGGGTGCATTTCTTCTAGGAGAGCTTATCAGGGACTCAGTTGGAATGGTTCTATCAGCTAGAGGGAACCAACATCCGCAACTGGGAGGATCTGGTTGTTGCTTTCTACAAGAAGTACCAATACAATGCTGACCTCGCTCCAACCCGTACTCAACTTCAAAGCATGTCTATGGGTTCTAGCGAGGGCTTCAAAGATTACGTCTGGAAGTGGAGAGATCTTACAGGAAGAGTCCAACCTCCTCTGTCTGATAGAGAGCTGGTAGATATGTTCTTGGGTACTTTGTCTGGTCCATTTTTCAATCACTTGATTGGAAGCTCTTCAGCCGGGTTTACTGAGCTGATATTTGACTGGTGAAAAAATAGAAGCTGGTATCAAGAGAGGTAATATTAAGAGAGATGCATATTCAGGAACAAAGAAGAAACCATTCTCTGGGAAGAAGGAAGTAAGTGCGGCCTATGACCAGAGGAATCAAAGAAAAGCTGAAAGCCGTCCAACAGTAGGAGCTGTGATGATCTCCAACCCTGCGCCAAATCAACAACAAAACAATCAGCGCAAACAGGATGCACCCAAAAGATAGTTCACCTGGCTTAACATGTCCTTATCTTAGGTTTTGCCACATTTGTTGAAGTCCAATCTGGTCACTCTGAGGGAGGCTCCTAAAAATCCAAATACTGCATCTCCCCATTACAACCCAAATGCTCGATGTGCCTTCCACTCCAAGAGTCCGGGGCACGATACGAATGATTGCTGGGCTCTAAAGAACAAAGTGCAAGATCTCAATGAGGCAAAGGAGATTAAATTTGACCCTCTGGAAACCCCCAATGTGATAACAACACCAATGCCCAAGCATGGCCAGGGTGTTAATGTTGTTGATGGTGACCTGTTTGTTTCTTCTATTGATGAACTAATTACTCCTCTTCCGATTTTTAAGAAGAATATTTTGCGAGCCGGTTTATTTTCGGGTTGTGGTGAAGGTTACCACTTGTGTGCGTCTCTATCCAATGGTTGCTTATTGTTAAAGAAAGGTGTCCAGCGCCTGATGAACAACAAATAAATTATGTTTGAGAAGACCCCCTCTTTAAGAAGTTTGTGCAAAGATATATCAATAATTACCATTTCCAACAATCCTCCCAGGGTCTCCTCCAAAACACCCATCAGGATTACATCCACTCCTAAGGTTGCTCCTTTAATTATCAATTTTCCTGGGCCGATACCATATTCCTCCGATAAGGCTGTTCCTTGGAACTATGGAGCTGACGTCTACTACCATGGCGTCAAGCAAGACCTATTAGGTGTCAAAGATGAAGTTGTTAAAGATACTGATCCTAACATCAACAACATTGTTGGGACCAATAAAATTACCAGAAGTAGAAGGATCTTCTCTCCTGAGATCTCTCCAAAGAATATTGTCTTTGGTTATTCCTGCTACTGATTCAACTGAGACTTGGGGCAAAGAGGTAGTGGTTGAGCCTTCCTGGATGGAGGCACATAAAGAAGCCATTCCGGAAGCTTCTAAAAAAGAAATGGAAGAGATACTAAAAATCATACAAAAAAGTGACTATAATATTATGGAACAATTGGGGCAGACCCATCAAAATTTTCCATGGTGGCCTTACTGTTATGCTCTAAAGCCCATGCTAAGGCTTTGTTGAAGTTCCTGAAGTATGCGCATGTGCCTCAAGAGACTTCTGTCGACCAATTCGAGAACTGTGTTGCTAGTTTGACAGCTGAGAATGGACTTGGTTTCTCTGATGCTGATTTGACGTCCAAAGGAAGAAAGCATAATGATGCTCTGCATGTCTCTATTGAGTGTAGGGGCACTAACCTAACTCATGTTCTGTTGGATACAGGTTTATCATTGGATGTCTTACCTAAGAATTCTTTGGACAGATTAGATTGTGAAAGACTCACACTGAATCCCAACAATATTGTGGTGAGGGCTTTTGATGGTTCAAA